TGTCCAACATCCAGTAAAAATTACTAGACCTTCAAAGAAACAAAGAGTGACATAACTAAGAAAAAAAAAATCAGTCAACAGAAACAGACCCAGAGTCTATCTTTGTAGACACAATGAATTAAAAATGGAAGATATTTTTAAAAATAAACAATGAAATTTCTTTTTTTTTTAAAGAGGGAGGGAGGGAGGGAGGGAGAGGGAGGGAGGGAGAGAGAGGGAGAGAATGAATTTTAATATTTATTTATTTTTTAGTTTTCGGCGGACACAATCTTTATATGTGGTGCTGAGGATCGAACCCGGGCCATACGAATGCCAGGCTAGCACGCTACCGCTTGAGCCACATCCCCAGCCCCCAAAACAATGAAATTTCTAGAGAAGAAAAATTTAATATTTGAAATGAGTATTTCATTGGGGCATTGAAAACACAATAGACTATATAGAAAAAAAATTAATGACTTGAAGATATAATAATAGAAATGATCAAAATGGAACAAATAAAGAAAAACCGGGTTAAAATGATCAGAGCCTTTGAGACAACACCAGGAGATCTAATACATCTAGTTGAAGTTACAAATATGGGGAAACACAAAAATTTTAAAGAAATAATGGCAAGCCAGATACAGTGTCCCATGCCTATAATCCCAGTGACTCAGGAGGCAGAGGCAGGAGAATTGCAAGTTCAAGGCCAGCCTCAGCAACTTAGTGAGGCCCTAAGCAACTTAACAAGAATTTATCTCAAAATAAACAAACAATGGCTGGGGATGTTTCTCAGTGGTTAAGCACCCCTGAGTTCAATCCCCAGAACAAACAAACAAAAAAAGATATAATGGAATTAATTTTTCAATACCCAATGAAAATGACAAAACCACAGAAGTTTATTCCCTCAGTTGTGAAGGCTACAAATCTGAAATCAGGGGTTAGCAGAGCCATGTTCCCTCTGAGACTTTGTAGAACCCTTTCTTGCCTCATCCTAGCCTTTGACAGTGACTGGTTTTTTTTTTCTTGGTACATTTTATTTTATTTATTTATTTTTTTATTAGTTGCTCAAAACATTACAATGATCTTGACATATCATACATTTGATTTAAATGAGGTACATAATCTTATTTTTCCACGTGTACAGATTGCAGGATCACATTGGTTATACAGCCACGTTTATACATAGGGCCACACTAGTGTCTATTGTATTCTGCTACCCTTCCTATCCCCCCTTCCCCTCCCCTCCCCCTCCCATCACCTCTTTCTACCCAATCTACTGTGACACGTTTCTGTCTTTCTCTTTTTTCTTCCCCCCCTCACACCATCTTATATGTAATTTTGCATAACAATGAGGGTCTCTGTGCAATTCCCCTTCTCTTTCCCATTCCCGCACCTCTCATCCCTATTTAATGGTAATCTTCTTCTCATGCTCTTCCTCTCTGTTCTGTTTTGAGTTGCCCTCCTTATATCAAAGAAGACATTCAGCATTTGTTTTTTAGGGATTGGCTAGCTTCACTTAGCATAATCTGCTCTAATGCCATCCATTTCCCTGCAAATGCCATGATTTTGTTATTTTTTAGTGCTGAGTAATATTCCATTGTGTATAAATGCCACTTTTTTTTATCCATTCATCTATTGAAGGGCATCTGGGTTGGTTCCACAGTCTAGCTATTGTGAATTGTGCTGTTATGAATATTGATGTATCTGTGTCCCTGTTGTATGCTCTTTTTAGGACTTATGGGTATAGTCCATGAAGGGGAATAGCTGGGTCAAATGGTGGTTCCATTCCCAGCTTTTCAAGGAATCTCCTTACTGCTTTCCAAATTGGCTGAACCAATTTGCAGTCCCACCAGCAATGTACAAGTGTACCCTTTTCCCCGCATCCTCGCCAGCACTTGTTGTTTGACTTCATAATGGCTGCCATTCTTACTGGGGTGAGATGGTATCTTAGAGTAGTTTTATTTGCATTTCTCTGACTGCTAGAGATGGTGAGCATTTTTTCCTGTATTTTTTGATTGATTGTATATCCTCCTCTGAGAAGTGTCTGTTCAGATCCTTGGCCCATTTGTTGATTGGGTTATTTGTTTTGATAGTGACTGTTGATCATTGGTGGCCCTTTGCTTACAACTACATTACCTTGATCTGTCACCACATGGCATTCTCCCCATGTATGTACCTCCAGGTGGCATTTCTCCTTGTCATAATTACACCATCTATATTGTAATAGGGCTCAACCTATGATTTCATTTTTATTTTGATTACAAAGATCCTATTTCTAAATAATGCCACATTCACAAGTCCTAGGAGTTAGGGCTTCAGTGTGTTTCTGGGGAGGCACAATTCGGGTCAAAATAGAAACTAATATACAGATATAAAAAGCTCATGCAGCTCAATAATAAAAAGACAAATAATGTCACTTAAAACTGGAAAAGGATTTGAATGGACATTTTCCAAGAAGAAATACAAATGGCCAATAAGCACACGATAAAATGTTCAATATCATTAGTCATTCAGGAAATGCAAATCAAAATCACATTGAGATATTTCACACCCACTGGAATGGCCTTAATAAAAAAGATGGATAATAGCAAATGTTGGTGAAGATGTGGAGAAATTGCAGCCTTCATACACTGCTAATGGAAATGTAAAATGATACATCTGCATTGGAAAATAGTGTGGCAATTTCTCAAAAAGTTAAATGTAGAGTTAACAATATGACCCAGTAATTCCTCTCCTGAGTACATTCCCAGAGAAATGAAAACACATGTTCCCACAAAAACTTGTAAATGATTAGTTATGGCAGCATTATTGGTAATAGTCACAAATGGAAACTAACATGTTCAATTGATGAATGGATAAACAAAATGTAGTATATATCCATACAATGAGATATTATTCATTCATAGGCAGGGATAAACTACCAATTCATGCTACAATATGGATGAACCTTGAATTATGTTAAGTGAGAGAGAAGTCAGACACAAAAATGCTGTGTGTGTGTGTGGGGGGGGGGGGTTGAGGATCAAATTCAAGTCTTTGTATACACTAAGCAAGTGCACTACCACTGAACTATGTCCCCAGCCCCCAAAAGCCTGCATTTTAAATGACTTCTATTTAAATAAAATGTATAGAATGAGCAAATTCATAGAGACAGAAAGTAGCTTAGTGGTTGCCAGCGGCTGGAGGAAGAGGGGACTAGGGAATGACTACAAATGGGCATAGAGCTTCTTCTTGGGGTGATGAAAAGGTTCTGTAATTAAACAGTAGTAACAGATAACTTCACAAATATTCTAAAACGTACTAAATTGTACACTTTAAAAGGGTATGTGAATTTCATGGTATATAAATTTTATATATATATATATATATATATATATATATATATATATATATATATATATATATTTTTTTTTTTACTGTGGTAGGTATCAAACAGTGGGCCTTGCGCATGCTAGGCAAGTGCTCTACTACAGAGCTATAGTCCAGGCCAATATATTTTAATTTTAAAAATAATAAACGTATATAAGTATGTGTAGTATTTGTGCTCTGAAAGATACAAACCTTTGCTGAGATACACTAAAGAAAATTCAAGTTCATAGATTTGAGGACTTGTTGTTAGACTGTAAATTCTACCTAAGTTCTATGCCATATAATCAAGATTCTGGCAGGAATTTGTCAAAATTGACAAGTTGATTCTAAAATGTATATGAAAAAGCAAAAGACCTAGAATAGCAAAAATAACTTTGGGAAAAAAAACCATAAAGTTAGATTTGTGAATTATAAATGCAGATGTACAGCATGTGATTGTCCTAAGAATAAACATATAAATTAAAAATAAATGTGCCAATGTAATACAAAGGTTTAAGAACTGTCTTTTCAACATGTAGTTCTGGAAAAACTGGATATACATTTTGAAATGAATGAGACTCAGCTCACAGAATATACAAAATTTATCTGCAATAGATCATAAATCTAAATGTATAAACTAAAACTATAAAATCCTTAGCAGAAACGATAAGTAAATTTTGTGACCTGAAGGTAGACAAAGATTATGTAGATAGGCATTTTGTATCCTATCACAAAATAAAAGAGAATATTGATGAATTGGCCTCCATCATATTTCTAAAACTTCTACTCTTCATAAAACACTGTTAAGAAAATGAAAATACATGGTATTGACTGGGAGAAAATATTTGCAATACATTCGTTTTACAAAGGACTGATATTCAAAATATACCAAGAATTCCTACAATTCAGTATTACAAATGCATACAATACCACCAAAACTAACCGAAATATCTGAACAAACACTTCACAATAGAACATATATAGATAGGGATGAGATTGTAGCTCAGTGGTAGAGCACTTGCTTGAGATCTGTGAGGCGCACCGGGTTGGATCCTCAGAATTACATAAATAAAATAAAGGTGTTGTGTCCATCTACAACTAAGAAAATTAAAAATATATATATTTAAATGACCAATGAGTATCAAAATACATCAACTGTCATTAGACCGCCTTGAAAGACAATTAAAACCACAACTAATTCCCATTACATATCTACTAGAAGATACACATTGGTGCTTGATTACTTTGCTCACTACTTCAGAGGCTGATTGTGAAAAAAATCAGATGCTGTATACATTGGAGCCTATACCTTGTTAATTCTCTACCATATTTTATTATGTTCATTGTGGTTCCAACTACTCATCGCCACCCACTCCACCTCCCACCATTGGTTGATTCCATGGTTGTATCTTTGTAAGATTCCTTTGTCTTTAAGGAAACAATCCACCACATTCTTCCAAGTAATTGTTCTCTGTGGGGGAGATGTGAATAAAAGCACATTGGCTATACCCCAGTTTCTTCTTCCACCCTAATTGGATGAGCAATAGAAAAGACAGTCCAGTAGGAAGGGAGGAGGCCAATTGCTCAGTATACTCTGCAAAATGCAACTCACTTAAAAATTAGAATTTGGATTTTTTTTAAAAAAACCACAATAACCTTGAACTTTATAATACCTGTATTCTCTGTTCAGCACCCACAGTTTTTCCAGGGGAGAAGTTTTCAAGTTGTTTATTCTTTTGAAATTCACACATCTCTCTTTTAAGTTTTTCAACCTTAAATACAAAAGTAAATATCTTTTAGACTTCTCAATTTTTTACTATATTATTGCTTTGTTTTTAAATATATGAGTAATACACAAATAAACTCTCCTTATTAAGACCTTAGCAACAAGTATGTATGTAGAGTAAACAATAATATTTTCCCTTCCAGAAGTAACACTGCTTGGCCTGTGCCCTTCCAGAACTTTTTCATGCACACACACACACTTGTATTAAGCATGGAAAATATCTATGGTCATAAGATAGATAAATTTACATAGATTAAAGTAACTTGAAAAATCTTTGCTTATTCATTCTTTCTATGATTGCTTTTTTGTTGTTGTTGTCACGAAATACACATAACACAAAATGTACCATGTTAGCCATTTTTAAGTGCACACAGTTCAGTGGCGTTAAACACTTTCACCTACTGTACAGCTGTCACATCATCCATCTCCAGAGATTTTTACCTCTATGCCCATTAAAAACTTGTATTTTTTCCATCACTCCCTCCCCCAAGTCCCTTGTAACCACCGCTCTACTTTCTCTCTCTGATTTTGACCATTCAAAGTAGACCCTATCAGTGGAATCACATACTGTTTGTTTGTTTTTTTTATGACTGGCTTATTTCATTTAGAATAATTTCTGCAAGTTTTACTCATGTTGTAGCATAAGCCAGAACCTCCTTCCTTTCTTAAGACTGAGTAGTATTCATTGTAGTATGTACCACATTTTTGTTTTTCCTTTGTCTGTCATTGGACACTTGAATTATTTCTACCTTTTGGCCATTATGAATAACACCACTAATGAATATGGGTGCAAAAATGTTTTTTTTCCACATTTTTATTGGTGCATTACAGTTGCACATAATGATGGGGTTTGTTGTATATTTGTACATGCAATAGAACTTGGCCGATATTGTTCCCCAGCACTCCCCCACTTTCCTCCCTTGCTTTCAATTTCTTGAGTACATATACCCAGAAGTGAAATTATCCTATGCTTAATTTTTTTAATGTTTATTTTATTTATATGTGGTGCTGAGGATCGAACCCAGGGCCTCACATGTGCTAGGCGAGTGCTCTACTGCTGGGCCACAACCCCAGCCCCTATGCTTAATTTTTAGGAACTTCCACACATTCCTGCTAGCAATGAACAAGGGTTCCAATTTTTCTACATCCTCATCAATATTATTTTCTGTTGTTTTAATAATAATTGTCTGCATCATCCTTACAGAAAAGGAGGACAATATCACCATGACCCTGAAATGCCCTCTTCAGTTCACCCAGCCAAGCTCTGGAGACTATGAGAGCCACTCTGAGCTGGAAAGCCTATATAGGCATTAACTAGAAAGACACTGACTTTCTCTTATGAATGCTGGGACTTAGGACAAGCTACTAATATCTGTAGAAAGCTGCTTCCTTGCACATACGCCAAGAGAGCTGCTCCTTTGGATGATGTCATACAAGGAACAAAACAAACTAAGCAAATTAATGGTGTCACTGCTTCTGTAGCCTAACTTATTAAATCTCTCTTCCTGGGCTAGGGTGTAGCTCAGTAATGGAGCACTTGCCTAGCATGCTCGAGGTCCAGTACCCACCACTGCAAACAAACAAACAAACCAAAACAAAACCCTCTCCTTGTGGTAACTAGTGTAGATCAGAACAACACGAAGAGGAAAGTGTTAGTCCTTGTGGCTGCCCTGGGACAAAGGGTTGTGAGGAACAGGAGGTGGTCTTTTCTGGTGAAGCACTGGAGGCACTGTGTGAAATAGAGGTGCACCTGACCAGCCCATCACCAGCGAATCTTCCCTGTAAGCATTTTTCAATAAACCCTGTTTCTTGTACTTTGTCTCTGGGTATTTTCTTTGGTCTCTCAGCAACCTGTTCTGTTGCCCTAGCACAACTAGGCTGTGGGGCAGACATTATCCTAATGGGTATTCATTCATTTTTAAAACAAAATTTCTTAAGGATCTAGTATTATGCTGGGCAATGTGTTAGACACTAGAGATGATTGTGAAATGATGACTGTGAAACTAAAATTAAAGAGACATATGTCCAGAATTTAGAAGTAAATATTAAAAATTAATAAACTGCTAAGAGCAATGGCTTTAAAAGAACACAGCTAAAAGTTTAGTGTTAATAATTCCAAGCTTATCTAAAATAGTAGAATAATATATTCTATTTGGTCAGTGTATTAACTATAAATTATGATCCAAATCCTTACTGAAAAAAAAAGATTCTAGGTTTTACAATAATATTATGTTACTGTTCACAATAGGTGGATATAAACACTGATAAAATGCAACATTTTAAATTTAAAAAAATTTTTTTTTACTAGTGATTGAACTCAGGGGCACTCAACCACTGAGCCACATCCTCAACCCTTTTTATATTTTATTTAGAGACAGGGTCTCACTAAATTGCTTAGTGCCTCAATAAGTTGCTGAACCTGCAATCCTCCTATTTCAGCATCACAGCCACTGGGATTACAAGTGTGTGACACCATGCCCAGCTACAATTCATCTTGGGCAAATTATGACATCTACCTGAGAGTTTCCCCTGAGGATTAGCTTAGGTGATGTGATCTATGTTGCTCAAGCTGATGATTATTACTGTAACACATTAAGTAATCCAAGAACGAAATTAAACTTACCACTTCTCCAAGCCCTTTTTTTTCTGAGTCAAGTGATCGAACCCGATTTCTTAAGGCTAGAATTTCCTCATCTAGTCTTTGATTTTGTTCTTTTGCTTTCTGTAGTTCAACTGTATCTAAAACAGTGAGAAGAACACAGGTCTGGATCAATTGTTTGGGAGGCAGTAACTCTAAAAACTAAAGGAGTGCCTCTTCTCAGTCCTACCATGATGTCTCTGCATACTCTGCATACGTGGTACTCTGTACAGGAGAGCCATTAGACCCCCAAATCCAGTCCTACAACAGTCTAACAACCTATTGAAACAGAAAAGAAAGTTTTGCATTTCTCATACCACACTTATGAATTGGACTGAGTGAGGAGTTTCCAGCAATAGAGGCTCTTCTAGGAACTAGAATTCTTAAAAAGTTGAGCCTACCTTCTAAAAGTTCAATGACTGAGAAAATGATCTTCCTAGCTTTTTTTAGTCTTGTATCTTACACACCTCAAATACCTCTCAACACTTCTCTTTCACTCATCTACAGTAGGGTCTCTAGAAATGACTGAAGTGATGAGCTGAGAAAGGTGAATGAACGAATTTTTCAAGTTAAAAAAATGTTGATACTTTAAAACCATTTTTCTGCCTGTACACTACTCCGAAATAGTCCACTCTCAGCACCTCACATTAAGGCCTGTTCTTGCCAATACACATCAAGGTTTCAATAATACAAACCTCCTGCCTATAACTTTCCTGTTTCTTAGCTGTTTTTCACTTATGTTTGTCTTACTGCTTTGAAGTTTCCTTTGTTTTCCTTATTTGTTGTCTGTTTTATTTTTAAATTGTATTAATTTGTTTTTACTTTCCATTTTTTCTCCTTGCTCTATCCTCTCCCTCTTTTTACAAAATCTCTTTGGTATCTATTTTTTTTTAGAAATATTGAAAACATACCAAAATCATCCATGATTTTATCTCTTTTCAGAAAATATGTACACACACACACACACACACTCACATACACACACAAATATATTCTACATTTGCCTATGCAATTTTTAAAGAAATTAAAGAATGCTATATACTATCTGCAATTTTACCACTTGTGGATTAATGGTTATCTTTATAGATCAATCCTTATAAGACATTTTCCACTTTGGAACTATTTTCTATTGTGGTATATTTTATATAAAATATCATGTACATATCTTAAGTCTTCAGTTCAATTAACCTTAACAATTATATATATCCATGAACTTCCCACCAAAAAAGATGCGGAACATTTTTATTATCCCATAAATTCCTTCATGCCCTTTCCAGTAAGTTCTCCACTCCCATCCACCCTTATAAACACTTCTAACTTCTGTCACCAGAGATTAGTTTTGCTTGTTCTTGGTTTTCATATAAATGGAATCTTGCAACGCATATGTTCTTTGTGTTTGATTTCTTTCACTCTACATCATCTTTTTGAGATTCTTCTATATTCTTGTATCAAAAATTCTTTCCTCTTTACTGCTGAGTAATATTCTATCTTATGAATAAATCATAACTTATCCATTCTCCCATTTTACTTTGCATTCCACTGTCCCAATGTGCCATGATTAGTGTCACTTTTATCCTACTTATTTTGATTTAGGTTTTTGCTGGTGTCTTATAAACAAGGCTAAATTTATTATCTTTGTTCAACAATCTTCAAGTGCTTTGACATTATTTCTAAAAAATAAATTCCATAATTCTCAGCACCAAAAAAGAATATTCCCATAAATGGACCTAGTGGATCAGATGAAATGTGCATTTAAAAAATGTGTAATATATATTGCCAAATTATTTTTCAAAAAAATATACAAAGTAACATTCTTATGCACTGGAAATTAGCAATATTTTTAATTTTCACAAATCTTAAAAATATATTTGAGGGCTGGGGATGTGGCTCAAGCAGTAGCGTGCTCGCCTGGCATGCGTGCGGCCCGGGTTCGATCCTCAGCACCACATACAAACAAAGATGTTGTGTCTGCCGAAAACTAAAATAAATAAATAAATATTAAAATATATATATATATATATATATATTTGAATAACAGCCTATTTAAAATGAGTCACTAAAATCAGTATTATTTTATTGATCACAAATGAATTATAGGCTTTTTGTTAAAAATCAGACTATATGATTTTATTCAAAGTGGATATTGTCATTCAGCCGTCATCTAATATCCTGTCCCAAAATATTGCTAATTCTTAGTAAATATTCTTGAAAAAGTTTACATACATGCCTTAACATACAGACAAAAGTTGTGTTAAAAATATTTGACAATTACTAACCCATGGATCCTCACCTATGAGAATGTAACTGTGCAGGAGAGTCCTATAGAACATCTTGCTGTACCAAGTATTGTCCCTTTAGTGGGTGGGAGGACAAGGGACTGAAAGTAGCTGGAACAGTGGGACAAATGAGGAACATTTGGAAGATTCAGGGCAGCAGCTGCTTACAACTTACACAAAGCTATTCCTTCAACACAAGGTCTACTGCCACACTAGTGTATGGTAGTTCTGTGGGTACACATGTACATACACCACAAATGTAAAAACCCAAATGACATTATAGCTCACATACCATTCCAACTTGCTTTGTGAGCTTTGTTAACCATTACAGGCATCTACTTGTGTTAGCATGCACAGTTCTTTGTCATTCTTAACAGTTGAAAGGTATTCATTGTGCAGTCACTTATTTAACAAATCCATTCCTGGTTAAGTGCATCCTTTTTGACTTTCCAACAAGCTATTTCTTGCTCTCTGTACTTTCATAAGTATTTCTATGTTCATTAGGGACATTGCAATGTCTTGGTCTGGTTTTGGTATCAGAGGAATCCTGGCCACTTAAAAAGTTGGGAATTATTCCCGCTTTAATTTTCTGGAAGAGTTTATGTAAAATCAGTATTACTTATTCCTTAAACATTTGTTAGAACTCACTAACATAGCCATCTGAGCCTGGAGTGTTCTTTTCGAGATTTTTTAAAACTTCAAATTCAATTTTTTGAATTGATTTAGGACTATCTTTTTTGAATGAGGTTTGATAGTTTGTGTTTTGCAAAGAACATGTTCATGTCATTCAGATCACCAATTAATTGTCATAAAATTATTCACAATATTCCCTAATTATTTCTTTGGTCTGTAAAAATGTTCTCTCTGTCATTTCATTTCTTTTACTGTTATTTTGTGTCTTTTATCTTTTTTTATGAGCAATTCAGTTAGGAGTTTATCAATGGCTCTTGGGTTTCCACTGATATACTTCATTATAGTTCCGTTTTTACTTTTATTTATTTTAACTCTTATTTTAATAGCTCCTTCCTTCTGCTTTCTTTGAATATAATCTGCTCTTCTTATTCTGTTTTTTTTGTTTGCTTGTTTGGACAGTATTGAGGATTAAATTTAGGGCTTACCCATGCAGGGCAAGACTCTGCCACTGAGTTGTACCCCCTGCCCTTCTTATTTTATTTTCGACAGGTTCTCACTAAATTACCCAGGCTGGCCTCAAACTTGTGATCCTCCTGCCTCAGGCTCCAAGGTAGCTGGAATTACAGGTATACCACACCCAGGTTCTTCTAGTTTTTTTTTTTAAATATATACCAGACAGTGAACCCAGGGGTGCTTAAGTACTGGGCCTCATCCCCAGCCCTTTTTTATATTTTATTTAGAGACAGGGTCTCTCTGAGTTGCTTAGTGCCTTGCTAAATTGCTGAAGCTGGCTTTGAACTTGCAATTCTTCTGCCTCAGCCTCCCAAACTTCTGGGATTATAGGCATGTACCACCATGCCCAATTTATTCTAGATTTTTAAAGTGTGAATTTAGACTATTTTGTATTCTTTCTTGTTTCTAGTATAAACATTTAATACTATAAGATTCCCTCCAAGCACTAATTGATATGCATTCACAAATGTTGATAAGGCCCAGTTTTCCTTTTCTTCAATGTAAAACATTTTCTAATATCCCTTGTAATTTTTTTCAGTGGACATGGGCTATTTAGAAGTACCTTATTTAATTTTGAAATATTTAAAGATTTTCTAAGTAAATTTCTGTTATTGATTTTTAGTCCAATTCCATTGCAATCAAAGATATAATTTGTATGATTTCAGTTTTTCCAGAAGGGTTTGTTTTATAGCCCAGGATTGTCTCCCTTGGTTAATGTTGATAGGTACATGAAAAGAATGTGTATTCTGGTGGATTTTTCTATATCAATTAGGTCATGTTGTTGGTAGTATTTTAGTTCTTCTATATTTTTTTTCTGATTACTTGCTCTATCAGTTAATAAGAGAGCAGTGTTCATTTTATAATTGTATCTAATTGTATACATTTTTTAAATACCTTTATCTTATTTATTTATTTATTTTTATGTGGTGCTGAGGATTGAACCCAGGACCTCGCCTGTGCTAGGCGAGCACTCTACCGCTGTGCCACAACCCCAGCCCATGTATCCATACATTTTTGAAAAGAAGAGTATAACTAATTTTGCCATTATTTAAAATTTGTTATTATATTTTAAATTATTTTTGTAGTTGTTATTATTTAAACACTCAAATTTTGTTATATTGTTGATAGCTGGTCACATATTTATATAGTTAAGCTAGAGTCTGATTAATTCACTGCTGATCCCAAACCTAGTAGCTTCCCAGTGAACAAACATGTGTGAAGTATTGTTAAATGCTTTACGAGGTGTCTTGGTCTCAGTGGTTCTAGTAAAATATGTATTATTTGTGTTGATCACAAGTTTTGATATCAGACATATAAGGATTCAAATACCAGCTCTGACATATAATGTAGCTATTGGATAACTCATATAACCTCAGTTTCCTTCTCTGTAAAATGGGAATTTAATATTCATTGGAATTGTTGTGAGAATTAGAGATAATTTATGTAAAGTACCTGGCAGAGTACATGTCACCAAGTAAGCAATAAGTGGTGGTAGCAGTAATAGCAATTATAGAAATAGCAATAATGTGGTAGTAGTGTTTATTATTTTAATTATTAAATATTATTATTTTAAAACATACTATTTAAAACACATTATCTCATTACCTGATGCATTATTATTAAATAACCATTATTACATCTGCTAGAATCACTCACCGTTTTCTTTCAGTTTTATCATATTTTCTTTCAATTTCTCAACTTCTTGTTGAGCCTTCTTAAGTGCAGAATCTAAAAGAAAAAAGGAAGAAAACCCTTGTGTAAGAAGCAAATGATTAGCATAATAAGCAAATTTCAAATACCTTCTCTTTGAACACTCTCTTTCATCTAACTGTCCTTTGAGTTTCTGCATAAATGTTACCTCCTCCAGAAAATTTTCTGGACTTCCCTCTCATGTACTTACTGCTTCCTATGTTTATCCCTCTCACTGATTTATCTGATCTGTAATTGCCTTTCCCTGTTTCCCCCAAAGGATTACATGCTGAAGGGTCTAGACTATCCTAAACAACGGGAATAGCTGAAAGTTCTAAAGCATTGTTATACTAGTTTAATATAAAGATGTTATACCCAGAAATGATTAAAAATACTTCCTGCAACCAATAAAGCAGTCATGCGTCACTTAACAATGGGGTAATGTTCTAAGAAATTTATTTATTTATTTATTGTTGCTCTTAGAAAAACAGATTCTGGAAGTACACTGGGAAAGATGAGACAAATGGAATGGAGTCATAAGTGACGTGGCTTGGTTCTAAATTCTCCTGCCCCAAACTCTCTACATAATAACTTTGCATGTTAGGTCCTGTGCACCTGAGATCCACTGAATTTCTGTAGTGTCTAGAATTTCCAGGCAAAAGATCTTCACACACACACACACACACGCTCACTCTCCTCCCCGCTCTCTTTCATTATCAGTCTTGTTTCATTATACTCATAAATATTGGATTATTTTATTTTATTTAAAATTTACCACAAACTTAGTGGCTCAAAACAGTGTCCATAGTTCTATATGTTGGAAGTCCAGGCGTGGCATGGCTAGGTTCTCTGATTATAAACCTGAAGTCAAGGTGTTGGCCAGGCTGTGTTCTCTGAAGGCTCTGGGGAAGAATCCATTTCCAAGCTGATTCAAGTTTTACTGAATTCAGCCCTTGAAGATGCAGGACTGAGTTCCCATTTCCTTGCACATTAGTTGAACATCTCTCTGGACCCTTAGAGGCTTCCCCCATTCTTTTTTTTTTAATTTTTAAAAGTTGTTCTAATTAGTTAGTTATACCTGATAGCAGAATGCATTTTGATTCATTGTAGATGCATGTAATCCCTTGGGGGAAACAGGAAAAGGCAATTACACATCAGAAAAAATCAGTGAGAGGGATAAACATGGGAAGCAGTAAGAACATGAGAGGGAAGACCAGAAAATTTCCTGGAGGAGGTAACATTTATGCAGAAACTCAAAGGACAGTTAGATGAAAGACAGGGTTCAAAGAGAAAGTATTTGAAATTTGCTTATTTCAAATGGAGCTCAACTTTTAACATTTCTCTGATTGTAGGCGATGTAGAGTCGCACCACATGTGCAGTCATACATGTACCTAGGGTGATGAAATTCATCTCGTTCTACCATCTTTCCTACCCCCATACCCCCTTCCCATCTCTCCCTTCCCTTTGCCCAAAATTCCTCCATTCTCCCCATGCCCCCCCGCTCCCATTATGGGTCAGTCTCCACTTATCAGAGAGAACATTTGGCTTTTGTTTTTTTGGGATTGGCCTACTTTGCTTAACATATTCTCCAACTCCACCACTTACCTGCAAATTCCATAATTTTATTCTCTTTTAATGCTGAGTAATATTCCATTGTGTATATGTACCACAGTTTCTTTATCCATTCATCTATTGAAGGGCATCTAGGTAGCTTCCACAGATTAGCAGTTTGTGAATTGTGCTGCTATAAACATTGATGTGGCTGTGTCCCTGTAGTATGCTGTTTTTAAGTCCTTTGGGTATAGACCGAGGAGTGGGATAGCTGCGTCAAATGGTGGTTCCATTCCAAGTTTTCTAAGGAATCTCCATACTGCTTTACAGATTGGTTGCACCAATTTGCAGTGCCACCAGCAATGTATGAGTATAGCTTTCTCCCCACATCTTCACCAACACTTATTGTTGCTTGTATTCTTGGTAACTGCCATTCTGACTGGAGTCAGATGAAATCTTAGAGTAGTTTTGATTTGCATTTCTCTAATTACTAGAGATGTTGAACATTTTTTCATATATTTGTTCTTCTGAGAAGTGTCTGTTCAGCTCCTTAGCCCATTAACTGATTGCATTGTTTGTTTGTTTGTTTGGTGTTAAGTTTTTTGAGTTCTTTATATATCCTGGAGATTAGTGGTCTATCTGATCTTCTCCCATTCTTTGCCGCATGGAGTCTATCTTCAAAGTCAGCAATAGAGAATCTCCCTTATGTTAAATCTGTCTCAAACTTTGAATCTCTTCTGTCAGGAAAAGGGCTCACTTGACTAGATCAAGGTCACCTAGATTAATTTCCTTTTCTTAAAGTCAATTGATTTTGGACCATAACTACAGTTGCAAAATCTATTCACAGCAGCATATAGATTGTATTTGAATGAATAACTTGGAAAAGGTGTGTGTCAAGGAGGAAGGCTCTTGGGGGCCATCTTAGATTTCTGCCTACTAAATCTGTTTCCTCAAGATCTCATGATATTTTTAAACAGTTTTATTGAGGCACCATTGACACACCACAAAATTTACCCATTTTAAGTGTATAATTTAATGATTTTTAGTATATGTATAGGTGTGCAACCCCACCACAATCTAATTTTAGAAGATTTTCATCACCCTGTAAAGAAATTTCCTGTTCATTTGGTTGGCAATGACTGAGGGTTCTAATTTCTCCATGTCCTAACCAACACTTGCCATTGTCTGTATTTTTTATTATAGCCATTCTAGGGAGAGTGAAATGATATCTCATTGTGGTTTTGTTTTTTACTTTCCTAATAACTAATAATGTTGAACACTGACAAGTAATAATTGCATAAATTTATGGGATACAGTTTGTTTTGTTATAGGTTTACATTGTGGATCGATCACTCCTAGCCCTAGGCAACCACTAATCTACCTGCTATCTCTTTCAATTTGCATTTTCTGGACATTTTATATGAATAGAAAATACAAAACATGGTATTTCCCATCTGATTTCTTTCATTTAACCTGTTTTTGAGGTTCACCCATATAGCAGGTGTAATTATTTCATTCCTTTTTTATAGGCAAATATTATCCCATTGTATGAATGTCAGAGGTCCCCAAGATCAGCAGGTTGGTGGCTTGCTAAGAGCTCTCCCAAGGCTCAATACATACTCCTCTACACAGCTAAAATTTACTACAGCCAAAGTTTACAAAGGCAAAAGGCACATGGGGCAAAGTCCAGAGGAAATCAGACCAAATCTTCCAAGAGTCCTTTCCTAGTGGAGTCACCATGATGTGTCTCCAGCAATGAGTTGTAACAACACTTATGAAATGTTGCCTACTTGGTAAATTCATCAGAAACTCAGTGCCCAAGGTTTTTATTGGGGTCTGGTAACATATACTTTCTGCCTAACATGTACCCAAATCCCAAAAAAGAAAGCAGGTGTTCATCGTAAACCATATTGTTTGTACAAATAATTTGAGCGGAGTGAGCCACTATTATTAGTTAGGGAATGGTGGAAATCCTCCCAAAAGCTAAGTTCCCAGATGCCAGTCAAGGGTTAACTGTACAAGGGGGCCCTTCTGAAGGATAGCAGTGTCATCCCTGCTGTGCTACCTTCTACATCATATGGATGTAAAGCACTTTGTTTATTCATTCATCAACCAATGGGCATTTGGGTTGTTTCTACATTTGACTATTGTAAACAATAGTGCTATGAACACTTATATCCAAGTCTTGGTGTGGACACATGTGTTCACTTCTCCTGGATAGATACCTAGGGATGGAATTGCTGGGTCATGGTCATCCTACATTTATTATTTTGAAAATGTACCAAATCGTTTCCCAAAGTATCTGTACCATTTAACAATTCTACTGGCAGTGTCTGAGGGTTCTAATTTCTCCATATCCCAGACACTATTTGCCATTGTCATTTTTTTTATTATAGCCATTCTAGTGAAACTGAAATGATATCTCATTGTGGTTTTGTTGTATACTTCCTTAGTAACTAATAACGTTGACAAGTAACAATTGCATAAATTTATGGGATCTAATTTGTTTTGATATAGGTTTGCATTGTAGATTAAACCAAGCTAATTACTGTATTCATTATCTCAGATATGTATCCATTTTTGAGGATAAGAGATATTGAGCAACTTTTCGTGTACCTATTAGTCATTTATATATCTTTTCCAGAGAATGTCTGGAGACATATTTGGCCCATTTTTAAATTGGGATGTCTTTTAATTATTAAGTAATAATAATTCTTTTCATATTCTAAGTAAAAGTTTCATATCAAATAAATGATTTGCAAATATTTTCTCCCAGTCTGTGAACTATCTTTTCATTTTCTGATGGTATCCTTTGGAGTATAAAGGTTTTTAATTTTGATTGTCCAATTCATTAGTTTTATTCATCACTTTTACTTTTGGTGTTATAGCTAACATCATTGTATAACCCAACATCATGAAGAATTATTCCTTTGTTTCCTTTTTGAGTTTTTTAGTTTAAACTCTCACAGTTAGTTCTGAGGTACATTTTGAATTGATTTTTATGTAGGTGTGAGATAGGAGCCTGTATTATTTTAAAGCAAATACTAGACATCATATTATTGGTCTATAGTTCAAAAAAATAAAGACTTTCTTCAAACATAAACTCAACACTATTACATGTGACTAAGGAAATTTAATAATAATTCCTTAATTCATATATCCAGCAAGTGTTAAAATTCCCAGTTATTCATAAACAACAAAAATATGTTTAAATTAGGGTCCAATAAAGGCCACATATTATAACTGATAATATACCTTTAAAATCTTTTAGAATACATTTCTTTTTCTTTTTTTTAAGAGAGAGAGAGAGAGAATTTTAATATTTATTTATTTATTTTTTTTAGTTTTCGGCGGACACAACATCTTTGTTTGTATGTGGTGCTGAGGATCGAACCCGGACCGCACGCATGCCAGGCGAGCGTGCTACCGCTTGAGCCACATCCCCAGCCCCCAAATACATTTCTTTTTCTTGATATTCATTTATTGAAAAATACCCTAATTATTTTATTCAAATTATTTATTTTTGAAAAATATTTTTATTATTAAGATTTTTCATTTCCATCCAAAATTTTTGACTATACAGAGAGAGCTGGAGAACAAACTAAAATTAAAATGCTTATTTAAAAAGAATTTGTTGTTGGAGCTGGGGTTGTGGCTCAGTGGTAGAGCGCTTGCCTAGCATGTGTGAGGCACTGGATTCGATTCTTAGCACCACATTAAAAAAATAAAGGCATTGTGTTCATCTGCAACTGAAAATATTCTTTTAAAAAAGAATTTGTTGAAAGAAGTAAACTAATACTTGAGAAACACTGTCATATAATACATATATTGTTATATAACCCATATAGCCAGAAGAATCTGGCTATAAATGGAAGTTTTAGGCAGTTACCTATAGGGCCACATTGATATTACATTTGGCATTCAAAACTGACTTGCTAATTCAGCTTTCCAACAGTCCCAGTATGTTCACATGGATATAGCTTTCAGTTGCTAGTTAGGATCTACCATACCAAGCAACTACTGATGGAACAGGTTGCCATGTGATTGGGTTTTTTTGTATCCAAATATAACTAAGAGTGCTGGGCGTCATGATTTTTCTTTCTCTCCATTATCAAATAGTGAAGATGGCTTCTTATCATACTCACATGGCCAATTCGCTTTTTATTTTTTTTCTTCAAAATTGGGTTTACTAAGGTATAATTTGAATATAGTAAAAATCACTTTTTTTTAAGTGTACTGTTTGAAGAATTGTGACAAAGATATGTAGCTGTGTGCCCAACAACCCAAAATATAGAAGAGATTTTCATTATTCTGAAAAGTTGTTTATGCCCACTTTTAAAAACACATTCCTACCAGGGTATTGTGGCACACCTGTAATCCCAGGGACATGGGAGGCTGAGGCAGGAGGATTGCAAGTTTGAGGCCAGCTTTAGCAATGTAGTGATACCCTATCTCAAAATAAAAAGGAATGAGGATGTAGCTCAATGGTAAAACACCCCTGGGTTAAATTCCCAGTACTGAAAAAAATGCATTTATACCCTTCTGTCACTTGTCTTTAATCAATCAATTGGCATAATCATTATTGTTCTATACATTTGGCATTTTTCAGTGCTTATGATTATATAGTAACCTACATTTCTTTAATCACAAATTACAAATATACAGAGGAAATAATTTAAAAATTTAAATTTCACTATTAATACAAATTCTAGACAAAGTAAAGATTTACATATAAACAATGAAATATTGAAAGTACTAAGAAACAAATTACAAGTGGGGTAGACAGTTTGAATAATCTTGCAATGATGAAAAAGCTTTACACATGAAAGCCCTGAGGGCATAAGGAATAATTCTGATAAACATGACTTGATAAATATTAGCATTCCTGTGTGGAAAAATAAAACAACATTTTTAGCGAACAATAAGCTCAGATTCAGAATAAAGACCTCCTACAAATTAATAAAACAATGATACAACATAATAGAAAAATATACAAGAGACTTGAGCAGGAACCTCCAAAACCATATATCCAAATGAGCTACAGCAACAAACATATGAAAGGGTTTTCAACTTTATTAGCCATCAGAGAAATTCATAGTAAATCCACAATGGAATACCAGTACATACTCACTATAAAGAAGTAAAGTTAATAAGACTCAAACAATATATATATATATATATTTTTGGTACTGGGGATTTAACCCAGCGAAACTTTACCACTGCACTACATTCCAAGCCCTTTTTGTTTTTTGAGACAAGATCTCTTAAGTTGCTTAGAGCCTTGCTAAATTGCTAAGGTTGGCCTTGAACTTGTGATCTTCCTGTCTCATCCTCCCAGGCTGCTGGACTTACAGGCATGTACCACCACACCCAGTAACAAGTATTGACAATGAATGTGGAGGAAAAAAAAAATCTCATATATTACTGAGGAGAGCTTACAACTATAGTACAAATATAGTCACTTGTTACAAAATGATGGTTTGGTTGACAGTACACCTCATATACAATGGTGGTCCCATAAGATTATGCTACCCAGTGAAGTTGTAGACATCTTAGTTTTTATAAGCACACTCTATGATGGTCACACAACAAGGAAGTCACCTAATGACACATTTCTCAGAATGAGTCCCCATTGTTAAGTGATGTGTGACTGAACTTTGGAAGACTAAAGCAGAATATACCCATAATGTTTGATACAGTCATTCTATTCTTATATTTTTATGTTAGAAAGATGTAGATAAGTACACCAAAAGATGTATACTAAAGTGTTTATAGCAGGAGAATATATGATAGATTAAAATGGAAAACAACACAAATCTGTCATCCATCAAGAGCATAATAGATAAACTATACTTATTAATGAAATATAAAAACAGCAAGAGAGAACAAACTGCTACTTGTTAAAAACATGAATGAATCTCATAAACACAAATGGGCAAGATATGCAAACTGAAGAATGCATACTGCATGTAGTCAAACCTCAGAAATAGTGTTCATAGTTCAGATAGTGGTCATTTTGCATGAGAAAAGAAGATGAAAGGGATGTCTGGGATGCTGGAAATTTCTCATGGTGAGTGATGTATGCTTATGAGTTGTGTAGATCACATGTTATGTTTGTGCTTCACTGAAAATTTCTAGACATTTTAAAAAATGAAGCTGTTTATTAGATTTTCATATGTTCACCTTAAAACATATTTTCCTCCGTGTACCTGTGTTCCTCCTAGATCACTACAATTAAAACATGGCCAACCATGGTGGTCTGAAATCTCAACTTACCTAATTTACTTTCTTCCTTCTCCTTCAGTTGTAGTTTATCAGTGAGCCTTTGGATCTCTTCCTGAGCCCTCTCCAACCTCTGGGTTACTTGTTCCGTGCCTTTCTCTAGGCAATTTTGTGATGTTTTATCTTCATGCAGCAGGTCTTCATGAGACTGAAATAAAACTACTGTTAGTAATAAAAGAAGGTGTATTCTTATGACACTTGGCTATTTTCTATAATGTTTAAAAGCTAATAAAGAAAAGTAGAAACAGTATTTCATTGAGGTATAGTTCTTCTATTAGGTCAAATCAAATAAAATGGTGATATTTGATGGTTTTTTACTTGTAAACACGCAATTTTATATGGTTCAATAGAATCTACGTAAGATATTATGTTTTTATATGATTATAAAAAGAATAATTTAAATATGAAAGTGAATATCATTCAAAAAAAGAGAGATGACATTTCTCAATTTTATGGTACATTAAATACAGTTTATAAAATGTTTTCACAGTAAGTATTTCATTTACCTTCAAAGTGTTCAAATACTTAACAAGGCTCAAAGTTTAATACCAGAGCTCCCCTTCTGCAATTATTTTCAACGATTTTTAAAGCTTAGAAATTTAGTCTCAATTATATTTTACTTTTGACCCTTGAAAAAGAATGATCATATAAATATAATAATCATACAAATTTCTCTAAGAGACAAAAACCAATGAAAATGCCATCGATATATCAAAACTACATTGAGATTATTAGTGTATTTATTGGCAGTATTTTTTATTCAAATATTTAAAAAAATATTTTTGGTACAGGGCATTGAACCCAGGGGCTTTACCACTGAGCTACATTCACAGTCCTTTTTATTTTTTATTTTGAGACAGGGTCTCACCAAGTTGCTGAGGCTGGTTTTGGACTTCTCCTGTCTCAGCCATTGAGTTTCTGGGATTACAGGTGTGCTTTGTCATGACAAGCTATTGACATACTTTTTAAATAAAGTTTAATACCAATCTTTGTATAAGTTAATGTTAGAAGATTTTTCATATTACTGTATAGATTCTGTCATGATATATTTAATGTAAAAAAATTTTTCAGGGCTGGGAATCAAACCTAGGGCTTTGCAAGTGCTAGGCAAGGGCTCTATACCAAGCCACATTCCCAGCCCCAAAATGATTTCTTAAAGCATATAACACACATTGATTATTTACACTTTAATACAGTCAATAAAAATCAGCTACTATGTTAAGTAATTGATTAATTTTTAATTTCACAATTTTGTAGTGTGTTTATAATACTTTTATGTACAATTTGATCATATTTTACAGTCTGAATCTATACATATTAATATAGTCAGACAAATTCAGGTAAAAGTTGATTTGTGATTAGCTTTTATTAGGTCAAATCAAATAAAATGTAAAGTAAAATGTAAAGTAAAGGGTTGTAATTTTTTTTTTTAACCTCACTCATATCTTTTTTAAACTGTTGTCCACATTCTTGGTATTTCTGATGTTCTCTTTGCAGAGGCTGGTGGATTTGTTCAAATTTCTCCTTAACAAAAATCAATAAATAAATGAAACTTATGAATTAGTCTTCATGAATAAAAATGTCACTTATATCCAAAAAAGATAATGAATTTTTTTTGGGGGGGGTACCAGAGATTGAACCCAGGGGTGCTTAACCACTGAGCCACATCTGCAAACCTTTTTTTAATACTTTATTAGAGACAGGGACTTGCAGAATTGTTTAGAGACTTGCTAAATTGCTAAGGCTGGGTTTGAACTCCCGATCCTATTGCCTCAGGCTTCAGAGTCTGAGAAGGCTGGGATTACAGGTGTGAGCACCACCATGCCCAGCTAATAATAATCTATTTATACTAGAAAAAGAAAGAACTCAGTCTAATCCTTTTGTGAGACTAGACCATGCATTCTCAATGAGGCAATATTGGTTCTTGAAGGGGCAATGAAATCTCTTACTCTTTTAAGTATACATATATGAAATAGTATGTCCTTTAGTATTAAATTTTCATGGGAGAGAGACTAGAAAATGATTATCTAAAAAGTTTGGTTGGAGAGACAATAGAAAAAAAAGGCTGATTAACATAGGGCTTGATATTTAAACTCGGCAAAAACAAAAAGTTAAACATACACCTGTTATACAACTTTGCCATTCCACTTCCAGGTATATATCTAAGAGAAATGAAAGCTTGTGCCCAAATTAGGACTTGTACATGTTACAAGCTTTAATTGAAAAATCACAGGGCAATCTTATTTATAAACACAGATGCAAAAATCTTATTGAAGGTTTTTTCAAACCTAGTCTAATAATTTTTAGAAAGAATAGCATGAACAAGATGGATTTGTCCCAGGTATGCAAGGTCATTTTAATATTGGAAAATAAATCAGTGAAATCCTCACATTAACACATTAAAAGGCCTACATCATTTCATTATCTTAATCAACCTAGAAAATTTTTTTTATAAAATTCAACATTGTTTCCTAATTCTTAGTAAACTAGGAATTAAAGAAACTTTCTTAACCCAATAAAAGTATCATTTTTAAAAAGCCTTCAGCAAATATCTCCTTAACTATGATGCAGTTCCTGAAAATAGCTCCAGCCACATTTCTCAGCATGAACCAAGATGTATTAACCACGCCACGCTATTTCCTTTGCCAAGAATGTCTTCCTAGCTTCTTTACTTAGCTTACGCCTAATCAGCTCTCAAAACAATATGCAACCTCACCTCCTCTGGAAGCCTTTTCTGGTCACTCTGCCCATCCTCTCTGACTTAGCCTCTCCCCTGAGTTTTTCTAGCTTTCCCTGGCTTCCCTTAGCACAGAACTACCCACATTGAACTATAACCACTGGCTTATGTCTTTCCTCCATTAGTTTGTAAGTTCCTCACAAGTCCAGATCATGTCTAATTTGACAGTTTCTATACCCACCAGCACAAAGCCTGGCGCAAGTCCTCAACAAATAACAATAATGCTAATTAATAAGTATAAAGTATTACATATATAAGTATGAAATATTTGCATATATTGTTACTTCATTCTCATGATCATCTTGTGGAGTAGTTGAGTTGATCTCAAATTTTATAGATGAGGAAATTGAGGCTCATAGAAGTTAACTCATTCTACATCATATTACCAACAAATGGCAGAGGAAGTCCCTCCAAATTCAAAGCCTGTGTTCTTAAGCATGATTAAACTGGCTTCCTAATATTTTAGTGAATGAACAAACACATTTAAAACTGGCCTTTGCCTTATTCAGTTATTTAGTTAATTTTGGACTACCTGGGGAAATTCTTTCTGCAGGTTACCATTCATATGTCTTTGAGACTCTGGCTTGGAGTCCACAAGTTCCAATTTCTTTAAGAGTGTTCTTCTTTCTACCAGTGAATATGCAATTTGTCCACAGGAGCTTCTTGGAACTATTTTAGACAAATCTTCTTGAGACAACATTTCTTCAACTTCTTTTCTCTGGGTTTCTGTTGAGAAGAAATAACAGAAACCAAAGTGTTAAAAGAAATGCAGGAACATGGGCTGAAGCTGTAATTCAGTGGTAGAGTGCTTACCTAGCATGTGTGAGGCACTGGGTTCGATTATTAGCACCACATAAAAATAAATAAAGGCATTCCATCCATGTACAACTACAAGGAAGGAAGGAAGGAAGGAAGGAGGGAAGGAGAAAGAAAGAAAGAAAGAAAGAAAGAAAGAAAGAAAGAAAGAAAGAAAGAAAGAAAGAAAGGAAAAGAAAGAAAGGAAGGAAGGAAGGAACATGCACCAGGCCCTGGGTTCTATCACCAGCACCTCAAAAACAAACACAAAAGAAATGCAGGTAAATAACTGTTGTTAGAAGATGCAGAGAGAGCTCTTAATTAAAAATTTTAAATTAATTTGAAAAATAAACTATACTGATATTATCATTCTTCTCTCAATCTCTCAGGTTGTTTGCAAACTTTCAGAAACAGTAACAACAAAAAAAATAGTGGGAAAATGTTTTCAAAAGCAGTAGATATTCTCATTACTGCGCAGCTTTTTAGTTTTTTTTTTTAACTTAATAAAGTGAAAGTATATCCTTTTCTGAAAATATTGTTAAGGATGCAAATTTGAGTTTCACCCATATCTTTATTGTTTTATTGAGCATTTATTATGTGATATGTATTATACTAAACATGTGAGATTGAGATACATTTATTTCAATTCTTTCTGCAATCTAACAAAGTGGAAACTATTATTATTTCTATTTAAGATATGAAGACTGAGGCACCAAGAACCCAAATAACTTGTCCAAAGTCATGCAACTAATCCTGCCAAAATTCTTGGTGATATCAATATTCAGGTGTTGCGTGGAATACTTGCAGCTGACTTCTGTCTATTGCCTCATCAAACTTTCTTCCCAATTGAGCATTCTAATCTTAGAGATATGCTGTAATATACCCAATCTAAAACGCAAACAAAAAACTCCTTCCTTCAAGCTCATGCCCTCTTCCAGCTTCTTCCCATTTCTTCATTCTCCTTTACAGCAAACTTCAAGAAAGGATAAATCATGCCCGTATTTTCTCTTCCTCTCCTGCTGTTTCCTGAATTCACTCCAATCTGGTTTTTATATCTACCACTCCATGTAAATAGCTCTTGTGAAGGTCACAATGACCTCTATGTGGCCAAATACAATGAGCAATTTCCAGTCCTCATACTTGGAATTTGACCCAGTTGTTCATATCCTTATGTTAAAAAAGACTTTTCATCATTTCCCCTTTGGGATGCCACATTCTGCTGGTTTTCCTCCTATCTTGCATGCCACTTCTTCTAAGACTCCTTTGCAGATTTCTCATCTTTCCAATATCTAACTATTAGAATGTCCCAGAAGAGTCCTGACTCTCTTTTCTCTCTCCACATTTATTCTCTGGGTTGTTTCCTGTAGTCCCAAAGCTTTAACTATGAGCTTTCTGCTGATGCCTTCCATATTTACAATGTAGTTTGCATTGCATTCTAGACATGTACACAATTGCCCACTCAACATTTTTGCCTGGACGTCTAAGATACACCCCCAAATTTACATGTCCCAAAGTAAACACGTTACTGTCTATCCCAAGCTGCACCTGCCACACATTCCTCCTCCATTTGAGCAGTTAGAAACTCCAATATTCTAATTGCTCAGGCCAAAAAAGCTTTGGGTCAACAGTGACTTCTCTACCTTTTTTCAGCCCAACAACAACAACAAAAAAATCCACTAATAAATTGTGTGAGCTCTACTTTCAAAATATATCCTTTGATTAGGCATTTGTGCTGTGACAGAATACTGTGTTTCTAAAAAAAGATAACTTGTATTTTGCAAAACTGATCATTAATAATAATAGGGCTTATTGAAAAAAAAAGATTGGGTTAAACCCTTCAAACTCTTTGCCATTATATAACTAGTACAATATAAAAAAATTGACAATCCTAAAAATTATACTGGTACACTTAAAGATACATGTCAAATTCCTAAAAAAATAAAGTGGTATTGTAGCAAATATAGGACTTCATCTTTTTTTTTTTTTAAATTAGGCTTGATGAAAGGTGGGCTAAAGAAGGAATTGAAATCGTAGAGTTATGGAAACAAAGGCAAAATGCACAAAGATTGGGGATATCTGTGCCATAAGCATTTCCAAAGCAGAACGTGGCCAAATTGAGCCCAAAAGAAGAATATGAGAAAAGCAGTGTTATGTTTTGGATATGAGGTGTCCTCCAAAAGCTCACATGTAAGACAATACAAGAAAGTTCAATGGAGAAATGATTGAGTTGTGAGAGCCTTAACCCAATCAGTGAATTAAAACCCCCTGATAGGATTAACTGAGTGATAAATGGAGGAGGTGTGGTATTGGGGGCATGGCTTTGGAGTATATATTTTTATCTAGTGAGTGGAGTCTCTCTCTGCTTCCTCATCATTAGATGAGCCGTTTCCCTCTGCCACACTCTTCCATCATAATGTTCTGCCTCACCTGGAGCCCCCAAGGAATGGAGCCGGCCTTCTAAGGACTAAGACTTCTGAAACTGTGAGCCCTAAAATAAACTTTTCCTCCTCTACAGGCCAGGCAGAGGTCAGGTTCTGGTAAGGTCCTTAAGTCACAGCAGTGAAAAAGTCACTAAAACAGAAATAGTATCGAGAAGTGGGGTTATTGCTGTGACTAACCTGACCTTGTGGTTCAGAATTTTTTGGAGCTTTTTGGAATTGGTGGAAGGAATTTTGAGATGCTTAGTAGTACAAGCTGGAAATGCTTTAGATTGTTTTAAATGGAGCTTAATGGCCAATTCTGGAGGGAGCTCAGAAGACCAGAATTCCAATAGGACTGCAGACTCTGAAGACAGGACTCAAGAGGATTCAGAGGAGGATTCTACTGGAATGTAGACTAGAGGCCATTCCTGTTATTTTCTGGCTGAGAAGTTGTCTGCATGATGCCCGTCCTGAGACTTTCTGTGAGGCTGGTTTTAAAAGCGATGGACTTCTTAATGTGCCAGGAAAAACGTCTAGGCAGCACAGCATTCAGGTGATGGCCCAGATATTGCTGGTGGCCTTTGGCCAAATTTACTTTAATAATCAGGAGCAGAAAGCAGAGCAGAAAGATTTTTAAAAGCTTGGACTTAAAAGTTGGGAGTAAAACTGAGACTAAGGAAGTTGCAGTTGTTAAAGACATTACTGCCACTAAAGAAATGCTAAAGACTTTGCCCAGAGACAAGGAGAAAGGTGGCTTAAGGGCATCTCAGGAGCTGGCAAGACCATACCCATCTCAGACTCAGGAGAGTAAAAGTGAAAATTCTCTTGAGTAGAGACCAGTGGGGCACACTTCTTACACAAGGGGGCCTAGTCAGTTTTTTCAAGGTGCTCAGCCACCCAGACACTCAGAGGCTGTTGCAGTCAGGGTCCCTGGAGTCGGCTACTGTTTGAAATGGTGGCAGACCTTGGTGTCAGCCACATAGTGCTGTTTCTGCAGGAATGCAGGATGCTGGATTAGGGGGGTCATGGAGACTTCCACCAAAATTTCAAAGGAAGGGGAGGCCAGGCAAAGTGCAACTGGGTTGGAGTCCCTGCGGGCAGTCCCTGAGAGGGCAAAGTGTGGAGATGTGAGGAGGAGGCTGAAGCTGCCATGGAGACTGGCGACATATGACATGGTCCTAGGAAAGCTGCAGGAATTGAGCAGAGACAAGCCAACAGGAAGGCCACTTGGGCTGCAACCAACAAGGCTACAGAGTCGAATCTACACAAGCTCTTGGGAAAGGACATCATGCTATATACTCTAGAGGCCAGACACAGAACTACAGGACCTATTTGCCCAACTGGATTTCAGTCTTACTTTGGTCCCATCACTTTTTCTATGCCCCTATTCTTGTAACTGGAGATGTTTATAAATTGATTTTAATCTTATAGGAGCTCACAATGTGAGATTGCCTTGAGCCTCAGAAAAGACTTTGGACTTGAACTTTGAGCAATCTCGGAACTGTTGAGACTATGGGGACGCTTGGGAATGGACTAAATGTATTTTGCATTGTCAAATGAGTGTGAGCTTTTGGGGGCCAGGGGCAGAATTTTATGGTTTGGATGTAAAGTGTCCCCCCAAAGCTCACATGTGAGACAATACAAGAAAGTTCAGGATAGAAATGATTAGGTGGTGAAAGCCTTAACCTTATCAGTGAATTAATCCCCTGATGAGATTAACTGAGTTAATCTGGAGAAGATGACACTGGGGGCGTGGCTTTGGGGTATATGTTTGTATCTAGTGAGTAGAGTCTCTCTCTCTCTCTCTCTCTGCTTCCTTATCATCATGTGAGCTGCTTCCCTCTGCCACACTCTTCCACCATAATGTTCTCTCTCACCTTGAGTCCCAAGAAATGGAGCCAGCCTTCTATGGACTAAAACTTATGAAATAAACTTCAAATAAACTTTCTCCTCTACTGTTGTTCTGGTCAAGCCTTGAAGTCACAGCAGCTAAAAACCTGACTAAAATAAGTAGAACTCAGAATCATGTGCTGCATGATGATATTTCTGTTAATGATGGACCACATATATGACAGTTGTCTCATAAAATTATATTGCCCTCTGACATTATAGCTGTTTTAGTTATCTCTTAACATCACATTTCTCAGGATACATCCTATCATTAAGTAACATGTGACTGTACAAACTCCAAAGCTTGCTGGCAGCCCCAAAAATTAACATGCTGAGAAAAATGACATATAAACTTCCATGTTATAATGATGTCATTTCCCTATTTATCAATCCCTCAATAGCTAGTTTATGTTGCAAGATCACTTGCTGGCAGCAGGACCTATGGTATCTTTATATTTTATAATATGGCAGATTAGAGACCTAGAACTAATCTCCTACTGAGAATAACTAAAAATACTAGAAGAAATTAAAGAAAACTCTTAAAATACAATCATGACATGAATAAAAATAGAATGCAAACTTTTAAATCAGCAGAATAAAATGCAATTTATCCATGGAAAA